TTCCATCCTTGCACCCGTGGGTCCCTGCTACCTTCTAAAGAGCGATTCAGACTATCCTGGACTATGGGAATGGCTTTCTCCTGAAAGTGAAGCACGGGGATGAGGGGGGACACAGGTGTCTCCACAGCCATTGCTGTGGGCAGGCATCTGCCCCAGCACACACAGACAGAGCTGTTCCCACCTCAGGATCTCCAGCAGAGCAGAGGTGACTTGTTCCAGTGTCCCCAAGGGACATGGCAGGGACACTGAGCCTGAGGCTGCACCTAGGGAGCCCCATGCTCCCATCTGGCCTGTCTGTCCATCTCTCTTGCTGGTGGCTCTCAGATTGTCCTGGGTGGAGGGGCAGGATCCATGCCAGACAGGCTTGGTGGCTGCTCTCCTTCCCACTGCTGGGTATCAGAGCAGAACCACCAGTGCTGCCCTGGCTGCTGCACGCTGCCAGCCGCAGCTCCTCAATAAATACAACTGGTAAATCTATTAATTTTACAGCTCTAATTGATGTATTGCTGTAATTACCTTTTATAACAAGGCAATTAAACCCTATTAAAGATTATTAGCTAATTAAAACTCCTCTGTGCACACACCCCAACCCCCTTATGTGCACAGATTGTTGGATGGGGGGAATGGAAGCCCATTGCAGCTGGGTCTCGAGGTCAGCGTGATGCACGGCGTGATGTGATGGGTCAGGATGCTGGATGGGGAGATCATGGAACCACAGGCTTCTTTGGATTCAAAGGGACCTTAAAGCTCATCTCATCCCACCCCCTGCCATGGGCAGGGACACCTCCCACTGTCCCAGGCTGCTCCAAGCCCCATCCAGCCTGGCCTTGGACACTTCCAGAGGTCCAGGGGCAGCCCCAGCTGCTCTGGGCACCCTGTGCTGATGCCTCACCACACTCGCAGGGAACAATTTCTTCCCAACATCTCTAAACTTCCTCTTTTTCAGTTTAAAGGCATTCACCCTTCTCCATATCCCATTCCTGCCTGTTCCACCATCTGTCTCTTCATACTTGGGCGTGTCACTTAGCCAGGGCTGTAAGGGATCAGGATTGCTGTGTGCATCCAGCCCAGAAATTTTCTGCTTTCTGGGATCAGATGGGAAAAAATGTTGAGGCTGGGATCTTCTCCTCCTGGTAGAGAGGTGGATGGGGGTGTAGGGCTAAGGATGGGCCCTTGGGCAGAAGAATGGGTTTAAAGGGGAAAAGCCCCACTTGGAGATGGGGTTTGTCTGCCCTGGAAAGGAGAAATAGCCCTGTGCCAGGAGCAGGATTGAGGTACTACCTTGACTGGGGAGAGAACCTGGAAGGTGTCTGGAGACAGGGGTGGCTCAGCCCTGGGTTGCTGTGCACCTGCAAAAGCTGTGCAGTCCAGGAAGTGAAGCCCAGGGTCCTGGAAAGCCACCAGCAAAGCAGCCCACAGGGGTGCCCCAGGAGCACTGCCTGGCCCCGGGGCTCGTCCCTTCCTGCGCCCCTCCAGAGCAGCAGCCAGGGAGCAGGAGAGGGGGGCCCCTGGCACTCCAGCTCCCCTCGTCACTCCCAAACCCAGCTTCATCACTGCCCACACGTTGTTTGTATCACGAAATTGTATCAATTACAGGCCCCAAAACTGGGCTGGTTTTGGAGGCTGAAGAGCCGGAAGTGCGTTGAAATTCCAGGGATGTGGCTGCTTTTTGCCTTCTGAGACATGTGAGTCAGATGCAGCCTCTGCTGAGAGCCTCTCCCCAAGGCCCAGCCTCTGTGCCTTGTCCCTCACTGCCCATTACTCTGCTGCAGCGTTCTGCACCCCGAGTTCCCTTGGTGTCACAGAACACAGAGAAATCCACGGTAGTGGATCCTGGAGGAATCCACGTTACTGGATCCTGGTGGAATCCACATTAGTGGCTGAAGCGCAGCGCCGTGCCTGTGCCAGAGCCAGGGAGCACAGCCAGTCCTCTGGCTCATCTGGTTTGAGTTAAGCCCTCCTGCCTTGCTCAGGTGCCAAGCACTGCTTTGCCAGACCCAGTGACCGGCTCAGGGCTGTGCTAGCTCCCCGTCCCATCCCGTGTGGGGCTGGGATACCCCCGGGGGGGTGGTGGGGAAGGGTCCCTGCCCCCGGGGATGGTGGGGAAGGGTCCCTGCCCCCGGGGGTTGGTGGGGAAGGGCCCCTGCCCCTGGGGGTGGTGGGGAAGGGTCCCTGCCCCTGGGGGTGGTGGGGAAGGACCCCTGCCCCTGGGGGTGGTGGGGAAGGGCCCCTGCCCCTGGGGGTGGTGGGGAAGGACCCCTGCCCCTGGGGGTGGTGGGGAAGGGTCCCTGTCCCCGGGGATGGTGGGGAAGGACCCCTGCCCCTGGGGGTGGTGGGGAAGGACCCCTGCCCCTGGGGGTGGTGGGGAAGGGCAGCAGCAGGGGGCTGTCTGTGTCCAGGAGAAGGGCTTTGCAGAGGAGCAGCGTGGGGACAGCACTGTCCACCCCGTCCCGGGGGAGCTGCGAGTGCAGCAACTGCTGCAAAGGAGCTGAAGTCTGACCCTCCCTGGGGGCTTTTCACTCCGGCTGCCAACAACCCCTGCGGGGTCCAGAGCAAGCAGGCTCCCCCAGGTCCCCCCTCGATGCCCAGCCTGGGGGAGCCCTCAGGTTTGGTCCCCCGGGCAGTGAAGGGTGGGATTCTGAGCCGGGCTCCCGTTCACAGCAGGAGCTTTGGGGGCAGCACGAGGAGCCAGGAGTGCCAGATCAGCAGCGACAGGCTGTGCCAGTGACCCTTAGCTGTGATTTCCAGCTGTTGCCCAAGCCTGTCCCTCCCTGCCTTTACCCTGGATGCCATTTCCCACATTAAGGCAAGTCAGCTTTAGCCCTGCCGTTCGTGACGCTCCAAGGAAAACGCTCCAAGGTCAGTGCCCCCGCGGATGCCCCGGACGCAGGCAGGCACCTCCTGCTTGGAGAGCACCCTCGGGCGAAACGGCCTTTGGCTTTCCCTCCCAGCCAGGGCTCGGGGTTTGAAAGAAAACAGCGCGGAGCCGCGCAGGGCGGGCGCTCCGCGCGTCCCGGAGCGCGCCGGGCCCGCCCTCCGCCCTGCCCGCCGCCCTCGGGGCCGTGCCCGCCGTTCCTCGGGGCCGTGCCCGCCGTCCCCGGCTGCTGCCAGCCCCGTGGCCCGGCCACAGCGCCTTCCTGCCCGCTCTCGCCTGCCCTGGGCGTGACACGCTGGGTGCCCCCAGGGCTGCGGGGTCCCCCCACCAGGGAACGGGCAATGCGCGTGGGAGGAGGGAGGAAAGGTGTGGGGACAGGCGAGGAGGCAGGGAAGGAGGAATTTGTGTGGCACTGAACAAAGGAATGGCGTGAAGGAGCGCAGACCCCCCTGGAGACGCAGGGAGACCAGTGCTGAGTGAGTGGTGGCACAGAAATGCCTACAGCAGTCAGGGGGCTTCTCCAAGCAGAGAGAGTTTCCCTGCGAGCCACGGTGGGGAAGGAGGGGGAATCCCACCCCCAACCCCTCCCTGTGGCAGTGCCAGGATGGCTGTGCCCAGCTGACACCCCCCATTTCCCCCCTTTCCCCTCCCATCTTTGACGTGGTGCCGGGGCAATTCCCGGCTTTGAGCTGTTGCCTTTTGAAAGTGCCCCCGGATTGTGGCCGGGTCCTTTCCCCGGCAGCGCGGCTGCGGGCGGGTTAATCACTGCCGGAGAGCGCACACGCGTGTCCTGTGTGTGCTCTGCGTGTTTGCGTGTGTTGCTCCGTTGCTGTGTGAGTCATCCTCAGCCCCGAGCGGAGCAGCAAAGCGAGCTTGGATTGCAGCGCGGACAGGAGGAGCCGGGCGGCCGCGGCTCCGGAGGCGGCTCGGCGTGGCTGTGCCCTTGACCTTGGACCCCTCTGCTCGCAGGGAATGCCTGGGGGAGGTTGTGCTTTGGGGTGCTCCGGCTCTCGCCAGCGTCCCCAGCTTCGAGGTGCAGCTGCCTTCCCGTCTTTCCTTTCTGCAGAGCCCGACTTTCCAAGGAGGAGCTCACACGGAGGAAGGTGGATCTCCCCCCAGGACCCCCGCCTCCCCCTCATTTCTAGGGTGTAAAAGCGTTGCTTTTCCACTCCCATTGTCATTTTATTCCCATTTCTCACACACGGGAGGGTTTGGCTCCAGAGCACAATGCAGGGAGGGGGATGAAGTCCAAGGAGGGGACATCCCCCCTCTGGTAGCGCTGGGAGTGCCTGGAAGCATTTGGCAGATCTGGAAATCATGAGCTGTCTGTGTCTCGGTAGCGTTTTGAGGGAGACAGAGCACCCCGCACCTGCTGGGAGGACTGGGAATCCCCCCTGCTGGGAGCTGGCCATACTGGAAGGGTGGTTGAGTGGGACTGGAGGGGGCTGGGAGGCAGGAGAACAGGAAACAGTCAGGGAATTGGGACGTGAGCTCAACTGGTGCTCAGAATTTGGGGAGCTACAAACTGGCACAGCTGGCACTGAGGAGAGCTGGGAAATGGGGAATACCAGTGCTGAGAGAACTGGGCAAAAGCAGTGCAGGGAAGTGGGTAGGTGGGTGGTGGCATTCTTTAGTGCCTCAGCGCTCTTTGTGTGTGATGCCTCAGGATTCAGGGGAACCCAGACCAGGGTGTTTCAGGACTGCATTTGGGTCCTTGGATCCCAGAGTTTCAGGTACCTCGGGGTCCTGTGCAGCCTGTGGCTCCTGCATTCAGGGTGTGCCAGGACCCCCCATGCCCTGCCCTGTCCTATGGGACAGCAATGTCCTGGAAGTGCTCCGCCCAAGGGTCCTGGGGGTGCCTGGCTGCTCCTCCTCCCTGCAGCCCCCTCCTTTTCCCTGTCACTCCCAGTCTGCGATGCAGCCTTTGTCGAGGGAATCGCCCCAGAAAAGCCTGCAAAGGGGTTTCCCCGGACTGTGTCCCCAGAGACGCCCTCCCAAGGCCCCTCTACCCAGAGATATTTTCCCAGCCTTTCCTAAGGAAGGGCTGGGACTGATGCGACTTGTCTCCACCCAGCTTTTGGATAACTCCACCCGCCGCCGCCTCTCAGCTCCTCCTCCCAGTGAACAGCCCAGCTGGGATATAAGCAAGTCACTCAGACACCGGGAGCTGCCGCGACAGCTGGGCGGGTGGCGTGGGACATCGCGCCGTGACCTGAGCCGTGCCCCTCGCCTCGACGCCGGACCCCATGGCGACGCCTTCGCAGAAGAGGAGCACCCGCAGCGGGGCTTCGGGGACCCCCTTGTCCCCCACACGCATCACCCGGCTGCAGGAGAAGGAGGACCTGCAGGAGCTCAATGACCGCTTGGCCGTGTACATCGACAAGGTGCGCTCGCTGGAGCTGGAGAACGCCGGGCTGCGGCTCCGCATCACCGAGTCCGAGGAGGTGGTGAGCCGCGAGGTCTCGGGCATCAAGGCTGCCTACGAGTCGGAGCTGGCGGATGCCCGCAAGACCTTGGATTCGGTGGCCAAGGAGAGAGCTCGGCTGCAGCTGGAGCTCAGTAAAGTGCGGGAGGAGCACAAGGAGCTGAAAGCCCGGTGAGTGCCCTGGGGATGGCGGGGACTGCGGCGGGACGGGTGCTGTCGTCATGCTTGGCAGGGAGCCGGGAGGGAGGAAGGAGCGACCTGGAGGAGCCAGGGAGAGAGAGGAAAAATCCGTGGCCTGGCCGGGGCTGGAGTGTCTGTGGTAGGGACCAAAAGAGGAGAGAAGCTCTCTCGTCATTCCTGCTCTCCTTCCAAGCGCCATCTTTGGCCGGGATGCCCTTGGAGCGGGGATTTGGGAGCGGAGCTGGGCACGCCTGGGGCAGGGGCTGAGCAGACATGCCCTGGGCCCCCGGCAGGGTCGGTGCTATGCGGGCCGGGAGCGCCGGGCTGGCGGCCCCTCTGCCTTCGTCATGCTGGAGCTATTCCTAAACACGCTCCGGCACAGCCCGGGAAGCCGTGCCAGCCAGCTGGCTCTGTCCTGCCTACGGATTTCGCCTGCTCGTCCTATTTTCCTTTGCTGTCTTTGGCACCGGTTAAAGAACCTGCTCCAGGTTTTGTTTGCTTTAACCCTCCCTGTGCCAAGCTGCTCCCACTCTGTGGGGTCCCTGGCTTTGGGGGAAGAAGTGTGCGGGTAGCACTCGTGTCCCCCTCCCACCAGCTGTCACTGGGTGATGTGCTCCCATTGAGGCACGAATTCCTCCAGCCGCTGCCCATCGGGCTCGTTTCTTTCCCTCCCTGCCTTCGTGGACCCTTCCCTGCTGCCTCTGGGTTCCTCTGCCCTCCTCAGGGCTGTCACCGGTTACCAGCCCAGGTCCCCTGAGGACACGGGGCTCCCTGGCCGGTGGCACTGCTGGCCAAGCAGGGGCTGGCCCTGGGCTTCCCCCGGGCTCTGCCAGCCCGTGCAGCGTCGGGACGTGTCCCTGCGGCGCTCAGTTCCCGAAGGCTGCTCCAAGGAAGGAGCGAGCCGATCCCTTTCCGTCATCAGCTTTGGCTCGCAGCCGTGTTCGGGCTGGGCAGCGGCGGGAACAGCCCCCTCTTGTTCCGTTTGATCTCTTGCCTCTTATTCTGGACTCCTCGTTTTGAGCCTGTACCAAATGAGGCTAAAATTAACTTCCTTAGCAGATGCCATAAATATTCTACCTGGGAGGGAGGGACTGTGCTGCCTGTTAGAGCCGTATCCGAAAGCCGTGTGGGGTTATATTTAGCTTTCTATTTCCCGTGCGCTGCGGCAGTTTCGTTCTCCGATAAAGCGGTTTGCTGCTCGCCAGATCCCCGCTCCCGGATCCCGGGGATCGGGATGCTGGTGAGAGGAGGAGCTGAGCTGTCTAAAGGCTTTTTTTCTACCTTGTGCAAACCCAGAACTATCTTGGCCACGATCTTTCGAGGGCTGGAAAAAATGCGCGGCCCGCAGCCGTGGCAGGAGGGGAGCTGGCTGCGCTGTGGAGCCAGCCGTGGGGAAAACGGATGTGGAATTTTTCCCTGCGACCGGCCGCGCTCCGGGAGCTGCTGCGCTTGTTCCCGGGCGCTGACAAATGCCCTGAAAGAGTGCTGGGACTCGCGGGGGTTCCCGGAGAGCAGCTTGTGCCCGAGAGAAGGGTTTTGGAGAGCAGTAGGTGCTCGGGCGGACAGGGGTGTTTCCGTGTTGAGTCATCTGTGAGTCACGGGCGCTGCGATGGAAGAGCGGAGATGCGGGGGAAGCCGCTGCTGTTCATTCCTGCCTCTGGCTTGTCTCCTCTTCCTAGGGCGCGGCATGAGGGCTGCTCCCCAACCCCTAAACCCTTGCAAGGAGGCTGCAGCTCATCTTGTGTCCCCGGGGACCTGCTCGTTGTGCCAGGGCTGCTCAGAGAGCAGCACAGTCGGCTGCTGAGCTGCGATGCTGCTCCTTGGGCTCACTTTGACTGGGGTGTCCGAGTCTTTAGGGCATGAGGGAATGGGGCAGCCACGAGCCCAACCCTGCGGAGGGGTCAGAGGTGCTGGCGGGACCAGGAGGGCCCCGTTGTGACACTGCTCTGCTCCCTGCCATCCCCTTGGGCAGGGATGTGCCCGCGCTGCCGGCTCTCCCCGCCCACCCTGAGCCCTTGGGCCAGCCCTGGGGCCGCTTCACTGTCCTTGACACGGTGAGACTTTGGCTAATGAGTAACCGCAGCCCTCTGCGCCTCTCGCTGTGCCCGTCGGCCCCGAGAAGCGCCGGGTATCTCCCGCAGGGCAGGCGCCCGGGGCCGCGTTATCAGCGCCCACAGCATCGCCGCTGCCCGGTGCAGGGGTTGTCTCGGCAGCACAGAGGGAGGGTGGGGGGCCGGGGTGCCAGGGCATGATGTGACACGGCCCCGGGCGCTGGGTGCTCTGTCTGGGGTGGGGAAAGAGCTGCTGGCTGCAGGGGGACAAGCTGTGCAAACAGGAGACCAGTCTAACCAGTACCAGTGCATGAGTGCGAGAGCTGCACGGGTGGAGGAGGGTCTGAGAAGAGCTGGGCTGCCTGCCCTCTGCCCCCTGCCACCCCTCTGCTCCTGGCCAACTGCTCTTCTCTTGGGAAAGTTTCCAGAGGGATTTTCCCACTGCCTGTTTGGCTGATCCGGGAGGGGTTTCCCAAAGCACCCACCTGGCTCTTGGCACGGGGACCCTCAGCCCTGTGCAGCCTGATACTGGTTGTGCCCCAGGACAAGGGAGTCCTCTGGGCAATCCTGCCTGCCCTGGTGCCACACGTGTCCCCAGCTCTGGCTCTGCTGTAGCCACGCTTCAGACGAAGCAGAGGGTGTGGGGAGGGTGCCTGGTGACTCAGGGGTGCTGGCAGCAGCGGCATCATCAGACCACGGGTAGAGATAGGACTAGTCTGAATTGCCCCTGTCCCTGGTGTCCTCAAGCTTCTGTCCCCTTTCCTCAGAGGACACCTGGATTCCAGCATGGCACCTCCATGGAGGTTGGAGAGATGCTCTGTGCTTGGTCCTGCCCATTGCCCCTTCTCCTTAAGCTGGCTCCTGACTCACAGGGTGAACAGAGCCACAGCCCCTGCCTTGCTCCATGAGAGTTCACCCCATCCCACAAGTGGGAGACACCCCACAGTGCAAGGGGATGCCAGGGGTTCTAGAACACAGCCCTTGGGCACCTTCAGTCCCAGGAGACACCTGAGGGATTCAGTGCCCATTCCACGGGCAGGGAGTGGCCATGTGGTGGCCACACAGTGACCAGCTCCCCTCTCCAAGGCAGGAACCAGCCCTCGTTAGTACCACGCTGATGAGCAATGCCTTCCTGACTTGCAGCCCCTAACCTGATTAAGGCAGTGCCTGGGCAGGGCCTCTTCCTCCTGGGGCCCAGATCTCATCCCTGGCCCTAATGAGGACAAATCTCCTGTTTCCCAAACATTGTTGTGGAGGGAAGCTCATGCAGGGGCAGAGCAAGGGAGGCAGCAGTGGGGTGCCAGGAGATGAACTCCACAAGCCTTCCCCAGCCCAAAGGGTTTTGCCCCATGCTTTGTTCAGTGATGCCCATCGAGGCTGGAACAGGTAAACAAAACCTGTTTAGTTGAAAAAAGGGAAGAAAAAGAATTAAAGCTCAGGGCTGCTGGTGGAGGGGAGCGGGGGGGGGCCCATGCACTTCCTTCAGCAGCAATGAGCTTGTGCTGGAACATTTTGCGTGGGGTGAAACCTCAGGCTCCTGGGCTTCTCCCCCGTCTGCCTCATGGAATCCCTGCCAGGGAGGGAATGCTTTGGCTGGGAGGAGGCTTTGCCCTTTCGGAGCAAACAAAGAGCAGCTTGTGCAGCTGGGGATACTTTAGGGGGAGTCATCAACACAGAGCTGGGCTGGTCCAGACCTCCGTGGCCCTCTGGGACCCTCTTAAACACACCAGCCACCCTGGACCTCCAGCCATGGGGACACATGGGTTGTCTCCTGACATCTGCAGCCAGCAGCTCAGATTGGCCAGGCATGCCAACCCCCCCTGGCATGCTGCAGGGCTGGAGGGCTCCGTGGCAAAACGTTTCTTCCAGGCAAAGGTTTTCATTAACTGTTCCCAGTGAGAAGAATTCTCGCCTGTGCAAACATCCAGCCCCTCTTTTTCCAAGAAAAATTGTGGCAGAGAAACGTGCCTCCAGCACTTTTGGTTTGTGATCTCGCTCCCACTGCTGTGTTTGCCAGTGTCTTCCAGCCATGGCTCATCCCCTCACTTTTCCCAGAGATGAGGGGAGTCAGAGGAAATCCTGTTGCCTTATATATATTTAGGATTATAGGATCCTCTCTGGTAAATAAGGACTTTATCTTTGGAGCTGGGGATTAAAGAGAAGAAATTGCAAAGAGAATCAGGGCTGAGTTGGTGTGGGAATGGATCCTGGATCCCTGACAGCCTGCCCCAGTCTCACATGCTGCCACAAGTGTTTTCCAGCCTTGCACGTGTCACTTCACTTGTCTGAGTCCCATCAACACTCAAACTCTGGGGCCCAGAGAACAGGGAGTTCCTCCGTGTAGTGCTCAGGGACGCAGACAGAGAAGGTGACACAGCCAGGGTGGGACATGTGGGGTGGCTGCCAGCTCCATATTCTGCTGAATTCATGCCCTTTGGGAGGGGTAGTTTCCTTTTGTGCTGCTGGCAACCAGGAAAGGAGGAAGTCACCAGAGTCCCTCTGATCCTGGCCAAAATTAGAACTGTCATGGAGGATTCCCCAAGAAGTGTGAGCCCAGTGGGTTCAGGGTGAGCTGGGAATCACCTCCCACTGTCCCACCATTGGCCGCATTACCTGTTTCACCATCCTGCTCTTTGTGAGGTTGTTTGCTGAGCCTGTTCCTTTGTGACCAGCTCAGCACGTTCCCGAGCAGCTGAGGCAGGTGCCACGTAAAACCTGTCTCTGCTGACAGCTGCCACCAGCCAGCACGGTGTCAGGGCTGCATGCCCACCTGCCTCTGCTCCCTTCCCCTCCCTGCCCAGGGCTGAATATCCCCAGTGTGAAGCTGAACAACTGTGGGGGCTGGCTTGGGCCCCCAGCCCCACCAGGTGCAGTGGCAGCTGCAGCCCTGACTGCAGAGACATCTGTGTGACAGCCAGACACTGCTACCCAGGAGAACCC